GCATGTTTTGTCTGGAAATGAGTTTGAGCAAGACATCATAGCGATAATATTGCGAAATATTTGCGCCTGCAGGACAGCATAGTAGATCAAGTTTTTCAGAGATGTTTTTGTATCAATAATCTGATATAAGAGCGAGTAGGTATTGGTGCACATATATCCAAAACATTTTAATGAAGTTTAGCAAATTTGAGTAAAGCGATAATAATACATGAAGGGCTAGAAAACGGTTTTTTTGTTTCTTCAGTGTCTTGTCAACTGTTCAGAGAGTGAATAATGAAAGTATGCCGTTTTATGGGGTTTACTGACTTGGATGATTATCTAGAGCTGTAGGGGAAGCTATGGAAAATGTATATTCACTGACAGGAGACACATAGGACTAGATTAGGAACAACTGACGCGATTAAACTTCACTTAACCTTAATGATTGGTCCCTATGAGCATCAAAGTCCTTGCAGACCTCACCGTTTCTTTTAAAGCATTAGCCTACCTAAACGAAGTTAAGTTTCTCAATGCTGTATTTCTAGTAACCTTTATTACACAAAGTTTGACCTCAATTCTATTCATGTTAATTCCCGTGAAAACATAGAAACAGGAACATAACTAATTAGAACAACTACGGATTAACTCACTATAAATCCTGCAACTCACCGTTTCTCTTAAAGCATTAGCCTACCTAAACGAAGTTAAGTTTCTCAATGCTGTATTTCTAGTAACCTTTATTACACAAAGTTTGGCCTCAATTCTATTCATGTTAATTCCCGTGAACCAAGTGGACAGTATAGACGTTCAGTGTGAAATCCTGGAAGTATAACTACTGAATACTACTGTAACAACAGAAGGCAAGACACGGGAGCCAAGGTATATTTTTCATTAATCAAACCGCTGTTTACATATCTACAGTTTATATACTTACTTTACTTTACTTCGGCTATCTCCTACGGGAGGATGAGCCGGCTTCATGAACATCTCGAATCGTTTGTAAGAGAGTTCATGAAGTTTCATGGGAATTTGGTACGAGTGATGTCCCCAGAATCGCTCGGCCTTTTGTTTGAGAGTGCAGCTCTAGCCTTTACACAACCAAGTGTGACCTACAAGGCAGTAGGAGTGGAGTAGGGAGTCCACTATCCATTGGTAGCCGGTGACCGGAGTTCGGTTCATACGCCTTTTTGAATGGAGCCAGACATCCAGGACATCCAACAAGCCCTTTGTCCATACGTCTGTCTGTGAGCTCCAGTGAGCTTCATACGCCAGTCGTTGGAGGTTTGGAATCAGGGTTTAGCTATCTCCCCTAGACTGTCATCCAATGGACAGTCAACCCGGTGAAGAGCGCCGGGCATCCGCTTTCGCCCTCTCACTTTGGTGAAAAACACCTCCGCCACGTGAAGGCAGTGAGTAGGACTTCCTCAGGAGAAGCTATGTAAGACGCCCGGTCATATGGGAGCATTTCAAGAGGTGTGCGGAGGGGTGGCCAACCCGCAGCGCAAGGCACCCACCCCCAACCATCCTGAGGCTTTGGAGGCCACAGTTTATATTCTTTAACCAATCACTGAGCGTGTGATTTCGGTTTACATCAAACGACATGAAATAGAATGTTCAAATATACATAGTATTCTGTTGTTAATGCAGTATATAACCGTGGGAAATGTATTCTGTCTCTAACATCAAATCGAATGTCCAAGCAGATATATTGTAAGCAGTATTGAACTGTGGGAATATGTGAGCATAACATTCCATTCGCATGCATTGTCTGTATCACAACACCACACTACTATTGAAATATACAGTCTGTATTTAAGATCTCATTACACAACATTTCAGAAATCCCAGATTTATAAGTTCCATAATGTGATTTTCGTATGCCATTTAAAGACTGATCATTTCATATATCTGATTTTATTATGATCATGGCCACGGTAAGAGGTAGATTAAGACCATTCTAACTGACAAGCACTTTCCAGCCCCAACACTCTTAAGCTAAACATTTATCCATAATATGACATAATCAATAAGAAGCACTATATCCTCTTAACAGTTGTAAGTAAAATTGATTTCTGATCTTGATCAAGACTTCCCCAGAATGCTCCAGGAATTTATAGAGAGGATTTGGTTAAACAAACGCCATATGCAACAATACAGTCGCTTAAGAAAAAAGATCAAGTGGGTTTTAAAAGTAAGAATTGCATTTATAGTCCCACTGAATACAAATATAAGCCACTACTTTTTTTTCAAGTCGTCCTCATATCATACTCAAATTTGAAAGGCTTAGTGAGAACTATGCATTTGAATAACTGTAACAAATGACTCAGATGAGAAATTTTAAATTGTTCGTCACTTTGGCATACGGACACACTGAGGGCTACAGCACTGGGCCGGTGGACACTAAATTGCATAATTCCGAGCTGGCTAACCCGTCACAACCAAGAGGATTCATATCCAAATTTGAGAAACTATCAAACAGAAGTCTGGTTATGTTAATTAGTTGTTTACCTCTAGAGTTCTTTGGGAACGAACCAACCAGGAACCGATTGTGAAACGAATAGGAAGGAAGAAATGGAGATGGATTGGCAATACTCTTAGGAAACCATCAAGTGACATCACTAAACAAGCCATTGCTCGAGTGGAACCCGAAAGGGAAGCGGCGAGTTAGTCGTCAGTGCAAGGGTGACTTGGAGGAGGTCATGTGAAGAGGAGATGAAAGCGTGTGGACAGACTTGGAGCCAGGTGAAGGCTCTAGCAGAGAACCGAACGCAATGGAGACGCACGGCTGAAGCCCTATGTTCCTCTAGGAATTAAAGGATACAATAATAATAGTAATAATAGAGTTCTGAACTTGAATTACCTTATTTTATGATCTAATTTTTGTGTCACACTGATAAATTACTTCTGAATTCATGTAATTCCATTATTTGTCTCAGTGATACCTACATTCAAAGTATGATGATAACTGTCCCCTTTCCCAGTTTTACTCTCTTTTTCCTAAATTCTAAAGCTTTCAACCACATATATAAATAAAATTTTTTTAAAATATCAAAATGTATTACTTCACCCTAAGTAGTGTTTATCTCTACTCACCTCTCTGATGTACATTTCAAAGTTCATTGTTGCTTAAAGTTACTATCAGTATAGGATATATGGTGTCATTTAAGTTTAGTGTTTAGGAGATGAAGGATGTCGACGGGTGCGCAAGATACGCTTATATGAGTAGTTAAATGTGTATCTTCCAACTCCCAAAGTACTTGTTCTACTCAGACCAGACAGCCATTTGGAAGTCAAATCACAACATGAAATATATATCGGGATCAGAAACTTAGGGCTGTGATGTCTGCTTAACTGGCTAGGAAGCGTGCATAAACAACCGAACGTAACACGACAGCATGACAAATGGCGTGGATGCTTGGCCGCCCACTTGCAGCTGAAAAGTTCATCTCAAATCAAAGAGTATAGTACAACGTCCATTTGGCTACGTTCAGTGTCAATTAAGTTATCCCCATAAGTTGCGTAAGTGAATCTTAGCCTCAGGTAGACGGAAGTTTAGTCGTTAATCAAACTAGGATTTCGTGTGTCCACGTTTTCGGATATTCTCAGAATTGATGAGCATAGATATTTATAAAACTAAGAAGTATCATGACTTCACCAGTTCATCCTGTTAACAAATAATTGAAGCATTCTGTCCACAGACGATTGGCTGTAAAGGTTCAGAGATTACTGTAAATAGAGACTGTAATATCATATCATGCTATAAACGTTTTGGAAGTGAATTATTGAACCACTCACATCCGGAAGGTCATATCTCCACAAACTGTAAACCAACAAGCTTTTATGTTGGAGAGTAGAATACCCATAGTTTCTGCTTAAATTTCTTCTTAAGCGATAATACAGAACACATGTTTTGTTCTGTTTTATTCCTCGCCTTCCAAGTGGAACAAATAGCTTCAGGCTTTGAAATTTCTGCAGCAGTGTTGTTTTTTACGGAGTGGAGTCTCCAGTTTCACGTCCGACCTTTCCCGACCGATAGCTGCTACCTTGACGTGGTGGTCGGGCTTGCACATCGCGATGAACCAACAAGCTACACTGGCTGGAACCAATGTTCCTGCAGGTCCTACCATGCCAGGAAGGTTGTTAGGATAGCGATTAGACTAAAAGCAGTTACCGGTATTGTGTAAGAATCTTTCCTACACTATGCTGGGGGTCTGAGGGCGAAGTCGTATTGCTGGGGAACAGGGGTGTAACAGCAGTAAGGTGTTTCCCTCAGATGACCAGCATGCCAGCCAGCTATGCTGCATCTCTACTCTGGAGAGAAGCGGTTAGAAAAGGTCCACACAACATGTCTACATCATAGACAGAAAATAAATCCTTACTGAAGACTTTATTTGCATTATGATCGAGCTTCTATCAAGTTGTAAGGTTGTTTTGCCTCCACAAAGGTATTTCACAGGTGGTTCCCTAGTTAATCATTTTCACGAAATGATCAATTTAACTAGTGAACAGCTAAATGTGCTGTTGTCCAATGTAATAGTTCCATTAGCTATAATTCAGTAAATCACTTGACAATGGCTTTGCCTGAAAGTATTGTGGGTCAGTATGCCTAATACAGGATAACAGCACGTTTTAAAATTACATACTTCTGATCAGTTCTTTCTCTGTGATCAATTTTTACGCCATATGAAACTCTTAGGCTGTATTCAACTGCTAACATTTTAAATTCGGTAAAGGCAGATTATTTCAAATTAAAGAATATACCTACTCATGAGTAGTATAAGTGTTAAAATGATATAGCACTTCCACTTTAAATTCCGCAGTGACAATTTAAGGATTAATAACGAGACAGTTTAATAAAAGGACACTAACATTCAAATTATTTATAAGTTCAAACAAAATCACGTGAGCTTTGATATATTTAAAGAAAGCAAAACGCAAATCAGATAAATAAGAGTATGCATCGCAGAAATATACAAAAACACTTCAATCATTAACTCTGCATTTATTTAAACTCGAGTGAAATGAACAGTGACGTAGTTAAACCATTAGTGGAACAAATAATAAACACGGAAAATGAAAATTTTAACGATCAAGATTATACAGAGACGAATGATGAAAAGAAATATTGGAGTAAAATATTAAACTATAATTTAAGCAAGATAAAACGCAGTGAGAATAGTACTCATGTCACTGGAAAGAATTCTTGCATTGAAACTGACTTTAAGCGTGAAATGAAACGTTATTATGTTGGTTTAAAACAGAGTCTTGACAAGATTGACCGAAATCAAGAAGAAGTAAGTGACGGATAATTTGAAGATATTTTATCACGACCTGTTATGAATTGCCTACTTTAAATTATGTTCAATGTTCTAGGTGTTTTCAGTTTTGTACCTGTGAATCATATCTAGATATAAAAAAATTCCCATTTCATGTAATTAAGCGAACATGAGCCAGCAAAGATATCTATTTTCGTAAATTCACTTCTCAGCTGTACAATTATTTAGTGGATTTATTTACACAATGTAGATTGATAACACAGATCAAAGGTTATTGACAGTCAGTAACAAGGTGAATCAAAGTGTATGAGTAAAAAACTGTGTTTGAAAGATTGAGAATAATATTACGTAACCAAGAGGGTACACAACTTATTAATTAAGTGATGAATAATCATTTCAAAATAGTTGTTAAGACACAAGAGAACAAAGGATTGAAAATGGATCGCAAAACATAGGAATAGTAAAATACAGTACAGAGCTTATTTTACAATTATTCAGGGGGAAAATTTAGCACTAAGGCTATGGTAGTAAAAGAAGCTGGATAAAACGTTTCCGAACACAAAGCTCAGAGTTCTCCTTATGGACTGATAAGGCTTCGGCTGTATGAAGAAGATGCAGGCGAAAGACTTTCCAGCAACTTGGTATAGATGGCAACGACTGCGAAAAACTCTACATTGGACAAAGTAGACGTCCCCGTCGTCTTCGTATCCATGATCATAAACTAGCCGTCAAAAGACATGACATCCACTCCCTCACTCATATCTCTGTCTGCATACAGACAACCACGGACAACAATTCGACTGGGACAACGTTCAGATATTAGATAGAGGAAACACCAAGAATGCTAGAGAATTTTTAGAAGCCCGCCTGGTATTCCAGTGAATCATCAATCAATAGACACACTGACATAAACAAAATTTACCAATCCATAAAAGGAAAATCTCATGCACAAAAAGTCAAACTTCAGGTCAAGGAAACAATCAATACCAATTCAAGTAGCCTAGAAGGTGTGAAAGCAGACAGAAGCAACCAATCACTTTCAGGGTCACCAGGAGAGATGACTAATAAACTCGTGGAGAAATCTAAAAGCTCACTTCAAATTGAAGTATTCGCTGAAGATGTTGCCTAGTAAGTAGGGCAATGAAAGCTTCGCAAATAAACTATCCAGCTCAGAGAACACAACTACATCAAAATCATCCACCTGAGCTACAAATCTTCTCCATCATATCTAGACTTTGTAGTACTTTATACATGACTGAAAGAAGTCTCTGCTGATGCTTTATGACCAGAAGTAATAATACACTCCAGGATTGAGCCGTTGATTGTTCTGTGTCTCCTTTTGACAACTATGGTGATCATGGGCGAGTCTATAAAATGTCTTGCTGGTACGGCCTGTGTATTTAGCTCCAGAGGAGCAAGTGAATTGGTAAATGCACATTATCATCTATTTCCAAATGATTACACATCAATTAACTAATTAGTTGTCAACCCTTTTGATTACGTAAGAGTACTCTCATTTTTTCAAACATAGTTATTACTCATACACTTTGATTTACTTTGTTACTAACTGACAATAACTTTTGACCTCTGTTGTCAATCTACATGTCAAGGTAGTTATTTGTTTGAGTTATTTTGCATTTCTAATACATGAAAAATCCCCATCCGAATATCAATAAACGCAAGACAAGTAGTTCAGCGAAGAGGCTCTTTACCGCGAATTCATTTTCATCTTTAGCTGTACATTTCTATTTATATACAAATTTTTCATGAAAGGTGGTGTTGATGAATTGCCACAACCATAGTCGTCAGTATTAGTCAACGCATAAATGGAGTTGATTAGGTGTATTCGAATTACGTAATAAGATGAATAATTTAATGAATGAGCTGTATGTAATCAGGATGCGCATAGAGACGAAGGTAAATGTGAGATTATGTAAGAGTCACAAAGAAATACAAGACTTATAAGGAGTCAGAGAAACAAATGAAAAAGAAGTCAGTAAAAATCATGATAGTAGAAGTGGTTGAATAATTTTTTCATTTTTTATGCTTAACTTCGGTTTTTCTAACTGAACGGCTAAAGCTTCAGCAATCCAAAGAAGACAAAAGACAATTGCCTCTTTGCTGAACTACTTTTGTCTTGTCTTTACTTTGTATTTCCCTTTAATTGGTTTGTATGAGGCGGAAATTCTAGTTTTTTTTGTTGATTTGTCACCACCTAGTAGGGACGCTTAGACGATGTCGTTCGGTTCATTTCGGTCCAGTAAAAGTCATCAGCGGGAAATAAAAATAGCTTGAACAATGAGGCACTGATACTCGTAGCAAAAGAGGTGGCTCTGTTTGCCGAGCAGCGCTGTCGATAACGCTTCGGCAGCTGAAATGATAGGTATTGATTCCGAGTTTCAGTGGGAACACCATCATTCGCTAGAGATGCAGCTACATTCAGCTGACATACTGTTAGATGCCATCAACCAAATAACTTATAAAGGTTTAAAATGAGAACATTTTTGAGGGTGACTAGCACTGAAACAGACAACAACTTAAGTTAAAAGGGTTTTTAAACATAAGTTAGCGGATGCTTATAGACACTGGAGTATAAACATCATCCCATTGGCATAGTATGTTATTTTTTAATGTTTAGAATTCCCTGATCGAATATGTTTTCTTATATCAGTAAAACACCATATAAACTATTGAACATTATTGGATAATCATTTGTCTGTTTATAGCAAAGTTCATCGTTGTTGCCATTCGACTGATTCAGCACAGACAACCACGTAGTTTAAATCATATAAATCCAGGTCAGCTCAAACTAATTGTATCAGTTAGAAGTGTATATATTTAAGAGTCTTCATAGAGAAGGTCTATAGGATAATATATATAATAACTCTGATATATTGGTTACCAGAATAAACTTCAGAATGCAATATATATATATATATATGTTTAAGATGTAGGATTGGTCGGAGTTGTTTTCCTCATTCAGTAAATTATTCTGCACCATCTACCGTGTTTGTCAAAGTCTATATAATCCGGCCATTTAAATATATACATGTTTTCTATAAAAACAAGAGTTTTGAACCAACTGAAATCTAGGTGTGGTGTTGAAGTGAAAAAAAGAAATACTCAAAGAGATGAAAGGCAGATGTGCACAGCGTACTAAATTTATCACTTATGCGTATATAATAAAAAATGTACCAAAACTGTATGGTGGTTAGCACCAGTTCATTTCATTTTACAGTCAGTATAAAAGGAAAGTGATGATGCATATGTAAAGATTAAACAATTAAAAATAAACAAGTCTACAGCTTAAAACCACTGAAATTTGGAGCACATTCATTCATCTTCCATCTTCTTCGATATTCTAAATGTCTTCGAAAGTCTTCTCTTACTTTCCACTCTCATTGTTGAAAAGTGAGCTCATCACCGAACGAACGAAATGACCTGCTAGTGTTTAAACCATTTAGATCTAACAACCAAGTACCACTGCTTAGTGTGACTCTTTTCCAATCACTCCTATCACCTCAATAATATATACCAACATGCAATTCTCACTCTCCTTTATGGATAAGATTTTATTTTGATAAATCACACAGTGTTGTACAGTAATATTAACTGATGACCACGTTTCGAGCACAAACTATTGCTCATAATCATATCAAGGCACTCACACAACTTCTTTCCTTCATTTATATATATGTATGGAATTGACTAGATATTTGAATAAAAATCAATATGAGATAATTTAGGCTAAAAGACCCGGTGGACCCAATTAAACAAAATAATATAATTTACAAATTACCTTGTAATGACTGTGAGGTCAACTATATAGGTCAAACTAGTAGATCGGGGGTAATCAGATTGTCGGAACATAAGAATTTAGACAAGGTAAGAATGGTTGACCATAATGGAGTTACACTCTACCACAGTGCCCAAGTTTTATACTTTTATCTCACTCTCCTTTATTTAATATTTATTTTTCCTTCATTTGTCTATATGCTATTTCGAATTGTAATAACTTCAGTTAATAGAAAATTCTACGCTGACCAGTCTGCCTGACTATCTTACATTCGTATTGCTATGCTTTAAATTAACCAGTTATATCGGGTAAAACCTAAGAGTATTGACACCTTCCACCTGGAAGGCTTCAGACAGAGTTTATGAGATAAATTCCTCTTCAATAGTGGTCATATTTATAGAGTAGCGGCAAAGAGGACCTACACGAGGTCATTAGTTCAATAACACACAATTCTTTTGTTTCTTTCTAGTTTTATCATCTCTCTCTGTTGTACAATATCTATTCAGAGATGAATACCACTGCATGATTGCCACATATCACTTCATCGATTTTCTCTATTCACTAGTCAACGGATGTTGCCGCTAACCTACTGTCTACAGGAAACTGATATTGCTACTACATACAGTGTCTTACAAGTACAACCTTGATGTTCATAACATCAAAAGTGACTATAAAATGAAGAGCATTTATTTGTCTGTTTTCAGTAAAGAAAGTTTAGTTTTCATTCCTTTTAACTACCTCTTAAATACACTAAAGTCAGACTATTATGGTGATTATTCATTCGTGTTCATGATTTCCCATTGATATATTTGACCGCATCAATCAGCTTTATTTTGGCATACAGTCTACCTGCCTCAGTATAAGCTCCTCAGGAACTCGAACTCTGTCTCCGCTTCTTCAAACACTGAAGTATTCTTCACTAGGCTATTGAACTATGACAATTACCTCTTATGCTACGGGTATAGTTTAAATTTGTTTGTACATGTTTTTGATCCTTATTGATATATCTAATATACTGATATGATCCTAGCTTCCATCAAACAAATAACTCTGAGTTCTTACTGTTATTAATAAAGAGGTATCTGTTTAAGGAATTCACATACAAAATCAAAGCTGATCACTGCGGTCACATATGTCAACTGGAAATCACAAACATGAACAGATAACTTCAAATCATACCAACTGCTTAAAAGGTGGTTGTCATGGCCTAGTGGAGAACATT